CATGAGACCACCCTTATCTTCTTCCATTTCTTGTTTATTTTATTGCGTGTTACCACTAAAGGTATATAACCTGAAGAATACAATGAACACGACAAAAAATGCAGCTGATTTCATGATACTTTGTCCTATTTGGCATGCTAAAGCTAAACTGTACTCCCAGACTGTATAAGAGGCCATTTCTGGTTATAAACAGCACTGCACATGCAAAATATCAGCCCTTAAATTAAACTCTTAGGAGCTATTTTTGTTGTTATCATGATATTTGCCCAAACAAATGTACCTTTACTTGTACCAGGCATTAAAATGAACAGGAAGTTGAAAAAACAAGGGTGGTCATATGACTGTATCTGCACCAGATTACATAACCGTGCAGTAATCACCCATCCCAGTAATTAGCTGTTGCTAACTTTACCAGCAGGTTGACCGCTGAAGTCGTCCTCTGAGTTTGTTGGATATTTACACCAAATTTCAAGGCAGGTCATCAAATAGCTGTTGAGAGATTAATTCTGCACCGAAGTGGAAGACAAACCATGAAGTGTCACTGAATGACCGCAGATGGATGTCGGTAAAACTCAAGAGCCACCACTGATATTTTCAACCAGTGGGCTGCATTTATTGTCTCGGTTACATAGAAAGACTGTCTCATTACAAACCCAGCACAAGCTGTCAGACGCTTTGAGCTTCCAAATATTTGCTGTTAAATGTCTGACTTTGGACCTGTGCACAAGCTGGACCAGCAGGAACACTAATGACTACCTCATGGCTGCTTCTTTACCTGATTCTCCTCTAACTCTGCTTCCTGGTGGTCTGGCCCCCTCCCATCCCGTTCTCTCTAAACATTCCTACTTTCCTGCCACGTAGTGTTCAGCAGTTGGCACTTTTTGCCTCTTATGAAGAGTCTGAATCTTTGAGTGGATCTGTGGAGGAAGCTGGCAAGTCATTTGAGCTGCACTGTGTAATTACAGCTGGGACTATTTTAATGACTGTTTATCCGCAGAGCATCAGTTATTGCAGGGAAATTGGGGTCAATTACATGATCCGCCAAAAATGTGAGCACTTCCACTCCCCGTGTAGCTCCAAACTCTGTGACCCTTCAACTCATTCTCACTTAAAAACGACACACACACACACACACACACACACACATATATATGTATATGTATATGTATGTGCATAGTGAACGGAGCTAATGCACTCGTTCATATAAGCATTCCAGCCCATGCACACAAACCCTGAGAGGTCTAAAGAAGTGAGCGGCGGCAGCTTATTATCTGCGCGCGCTGTTTGTTTTAATTGATCTTGTCCCAGCATTAACTCCACCTTGTTTTGATGCTGCTGTGAAGTCGCGCATTAAGAAACGACTCCGCAGGTATGCGTGTGGAGAATTTTCGTTTTAATTATGGTTTGTCCAACTCAGAGATTGAGACATCACTTGTGGTTAAAATCTGGCCTTTTAAAATATGTCAGTTTAATTATATTGCTGAAATGCATATTGACAGAAAAGCCCCCCAGTCTGTCAGCTCATCATCAAGCTCTGCAGAAGCCTGATAACCATCCTGATCATTTGAATCAGGTGTGCTGGAAGACATCTAAAACAGGCAGGACTGTGCCCCTCCAGGACCAGGTCCAGGACCAGGACTGGACACCCCTGCCATAGTCTGTATAGCAAAGACAGACGTAACGATGGAGAACTCACCTGTTGGATTATTTACAGGCATTTGGAACCTTGAGTCTTTGGGTCGTGGTCTCTTCATGACAGCACCACACAATGCCTTTCGTTTTAACTGCAAACCTGATTCACATGATCAGGATGGTTATCAAGCTTCTGCAGAGCTTGATGATGAGCTGATCATTTGAATCATGTGTGTTGGAAGAAGGAAACATCTAAAACTTGCAGGATTGCGGCCCTCGAGGACCGGAGTTCGAGACCCCTGCCTTAATACAATCTAAATGGGGGGCTTATATAGAACTTTGTCCCTCATACAGTTGGTATAAAAGGAGAAGTTAGGTGTAGAGACCAAAACCTTTTTTAAACCAATCGGTGAACATGTTTGTTTGTGCTGTGGAGTTAAACACTTTAACGTAGAGGTCTATGAGGATCAAGCTGCTTTCAGAGCTGGACATCAAAGGAACTACAGTTTTATTCCTGGAAAAGAGAAAAAGGCAGATGTCGTTGATGCAGACCAACATTAAGGTTTCAGGTGTTCTACGTGTCCTTGTTGCTGATATTAATCCATTTACAATCTAACTGATGTCATTAAAAACAAACAGCCTGAGTCTAACGATTACGACTGCACTCTTATGGTAAATATTCAAGACAGGAACATCAACCCCAGAGGTACGACGAGCTAACAATCAACACCCAAGTCACTCTGGGCAAAAACAAATGGCAGCAGAAAATGTTTTTAAAAACTAAAAAGTTGTATGAGTGACAACTGATTCCAAATTCCTGACATTTACCATCATCACACTTCATAAAATCCAATCAGCGCTGAGACGTGACTTTCAGTAGAGTTGTTCCACTTTAACATAAAAACAAACTGAGGTAATTATATACAGTTTGCTTGAGGTTTCCACTGTGTGGGTTTCCCTCTTTAGCCCCTGAGGTTGCTGCTGAATAGATCAGGGGTCAGCTGTTCATAGATATTGTTGTGTAACCACAGGACTCACCACCTGCCCTCCATTACAACCAATGCAGGTGCACTTGACAAGTTGACATTTTGAGTTAATTTCAAGAAAAGAAAGGGAAATCCGGCATATCTGATTGTTTTTTCTGTTGCCTCCTGAGCCAGGTAAAGTCTGTGGAGTGGCAGCTTCCTTAACTTGGCCAGTCAGAACAGAATGGGCTCATCAGGAGGCCCGCCTTAGAGATCCAGGAGCTACAACAGCCTGCTGCAGACTGAGGGTGAACTGAGTGGGCTGCATACGGGACCAGTACAAAATATAAAAGAATGAACCGTTAAACTGTGTAATTATACGCCAGTAGAGACCCCGAGCAACAAGAACAGTGCTTATTATGGTCCCTGCAAATCTTCTGTAGCTCATATGTTGTGCTTCATGCAGTCAACAAGTGTGAAGTGTGTTAAATGTTCCTGAAGCTTTTTCATTTGTGTAGGAGCAGAAAGGTGTCTGGACAAGCCTTCAGGCTCTCAGGTGACACCGACATTCAGCAGCGATGTGAAACAGTGTCGGGGACTTTCTCCAGATGGCTCCATCACTCGAGTGAAACTGTTCTTTGTCTTTACTTTTCACAGAATCAGATGATAGTTAAAGGAACTCATGTTCACATTTAAACAGCATACTGATCATCAGATTTCACCATGTTTGAATGTAAGTAGACTGACCATTTAGGACGCTTTTTGTTTTGAGTGACTCCAAATTAATCATGTTGAAGTTGATATATATATGTATGTTGATGGTATGGTATGTTGATATGTATATATATATATATATATATATATATATATGTATGTGTGTGTGTGTGTGTGTGTGTGCATATATATATATGTGTGTGTGTGTATATATATGGAATCTGGTGCAAACAGAAGAAGTGTTAGGATGGAGGTGGCTACAGACAATGTCAAAGCTATTTGATGTTTTTTTGTCCATTCCAACATCAGCCACAACAGTAAACTGACTTTAGCATTAAAGCTTGTATCTGTAGGACACGTTAATAAGCCTACTACACTGCTTTGAATTTGTTTTTATGTTTGTTCTTAATTTGTTCCCACGTCCTTTTTACACCACCAGGGTTGCAGCTCAAGTAAAAAGACAAACCTGGGTTGATAACCACGACATAGGACCGGTTATCCTGAGTGCGGTTGTTAGGGTTAGTCAAGCTGGAGCTCTGAAACATATCCTGGTTTGTTGATCTGGCTTCGTAGTGCAGGGCCCTGGTGTATCAGACATCCTGAGAAGTCATCATTAAATCAGATTGCAGATAAGATCTGTTAATGCCACAAACAGCATGAACGCTGACGAGGTGTCAGACTCCAGGAATGTTTAGAGACTGAAAAGGAGAAAAACAAACGATAATTCTGTGCCTGACTAAAATAATCTTCCGTTGCTTTCTAAAAACGGACTCGATAGCGTGAGAATAAGGTCAGTAGTCAGTCAGACTGAAATGAAAATGTATTTCTTCACTCTTGCTGGAAGTTAGTCATTCATATGAGATACACATTTCAAGTAGATGGACAAGCGTGTTAGCAGAATCTTAATTTCATATCAGCTGAATTCCTCGGCGCTTTCTTAAATCCTTCTCAGTGTAAAGAACTGGCAGTTTGTGAAGTCTCTCCTCGGAGGTGTGATATGGGAGCTAGGAGCTAACAAAAGGCTTTTCTGACAGTGTTCTCTGAAGTATCCGTCTGAAGGACTTTAATCAATGAACCGTCACTTTTACCGCCCACCTATGTAGAAGTCGTGTCACTTTATTACCTGGAAATCTCCATTTTATAGTCAGAAGCGTCGCGCTACATGAGAAAGTCACTCACTGTGTTTGTGTTAGCATCACAGAACCATATCAGGCCTACAGGAAGCCAGTTTTAACATGTGGTTGGAGCTTTAATCTGTCTGAGACACGTGAATACATTCAGCCTCCTGTAGAGGTGAAGACGAACCTCAGAAACAAGTAGAAAGATTTAAAGAGAGGCTTCCTTTAAATGCACTGTCAGGTATGGCAATGGAGAGATTCTCAGTTCTTCTGTCATGTCATCTTTGTTTTAAAGCAAAAAGAAAAGCAAATGAGTTATATTAACTACGTACACATTTATATGCAAAAGTAATTCAGGCACAGATGTCTCATAGTAATAGTGAAATAACCCAACAAAGAGGCTTCGTGGTGGTTTGTCACCTGTAGAGTGTACCTCCATCAGAATAAAACCTCACTTCCTGCACATATGTGAAACCCTGAACGTCAGCGGCTATTCTGAGGCCTCATGAGTCATTCTTTTTTTTTTCCTGATGTATCATTCACGTCTCCACCTCTCCTGCTTTCTCCCCAGGCCCACCTTTCGCTACTTCACCTGGCATACCTGCGTGCTGGGTATCATTGGCTGCGCCGTCATGATGTTCCTAATCAACGCCATCTACGCCTCGGCCAGCATCGCCTTCATGCTGCTGCTGCTTCTGCTGATTCACTACCTCAGTCCCACCTCCAGCTGGGGCTACATCAGCCAGGCTCTCATTTTCCACCAGGTCTGACAAACGCGCGCATTCAGACACACACACACCCTCAATACTGCCTTGTCATTACTATAGCAACTAAAATCTCATCCCCTCAGCTTTACAAGAGCCTCTACCTCTGCCAAGCAATCGTTCCATCAGGTTTATAGAGACAAGCAGACACACACACACACACACACACAAACACAGACAAACTGCTCTCCACCGCCGCCGCTCCCTCAGCCAATCGCTTTGCATTTAGGAGACAAACACACATTTTCCCTCTCTCTCTTTTCTCACACGTACACATGCTGCCTTGTCATTCCTACAGCAGCTATCTATCATGTTTATATCAGGCTTAGCAGACACCAAAACACACACACACACACACACACACACACACACACACATCTGCATCTATTCCCTCAGCAAAGCTCTCTACATTTATGACACAAACACACGCGCGGTGCTTTACATCATCCAGCCCTCCGTGTCCTCTATCTGGCGAGCCTGTTGCTCTCAAGGAGAGGCGGCCGTGCTGCCAGGAGGGCCCGCTGCCGAGGGGAACCGCTGCCAAGGCTGCAGGCAGGGGTTATGGGCAGGGAGGGTGAGGGCGGCTGGGTGTGCCAGTAGCTTGTCAGGAGGCAGAACATTATTACAACCACTTAACTTATTGCGCTTTTCCGTCTCGTCCTCCCCTCCCCGCCCATTTTCTTCCACCGTTCTCTTCATCTCCTTCTCCATCTG